GGTTAATTACAATGGTGGTGGCCAGAGAAGAACACGAATATCTGAGGAAGTATCTGCAATTGACTGATACAGCCAACAACTATATAGCTACGTCTCCTAGTAAAAAAAAAAAAATTAATTTACAAATTAACTCAGGCTCACCATAGAAAAGTTAAATATTTTATAAAGGAAAAATAAAAGATACATTTTGCAATTTTAGAAATTCTCTTCCAAAGTTTGTTCCAACTTCATTGCTAACATAATGGATATTTTACTTTTTTAGAAATTATTTACCTAAATAATACAAATATAATACCTTCGGAGATTTTTTAAAAATCAGAAAATAAAATTTCAAGTAAAATTCAATCCTTAATCTCAAGCTTTCCTATGCTAAACCTTACTAGAAACCCACTCACTCTTACTAGAAACCCACATTCCATATGCATATATAGTATTTGTATACAAATAGCATATAAATTTTGCATCTTATTTCTATGTAAGTAAGATTGCATATGTAAATATTATTTGGGGAATTGTGTTATTTATTCAATTATACTTTTGACAAAATTTCCATTTAGAATATGTAGACATATGCTGGCTGATTTTATAAGTTTTCAAGAGTTGATGGCTGCTAAGAGAGGGAGAGTTAGCTTCTGTTAATATCTTATTGATACTTCTTCTTTAACTAGACTATCTACATTTTATCCTACAGCAAAATATCAACATTGTTCAATTTTAGCTCTATATTTGACTATATTTAATACTTGTTAGAAATGTTTGCTATAATTTCCCAATTTTTGAGTTTTTGATTCCTTTTTTTTTTTTTTTAATTTTACTAAAGTTCTAAAGCAAGTAGTTTACTCTCAAGCAGCCCATGGTCATTCTGTCCCATGAGCTCTTACATATATTACTTACATTCAGGTCTCTGGCATTTGTGCTTTATGTTTGACGGAATTTGATATAGCATTTTTAGATTGTAATTTCTTTTTTTCCAGACATCAGTTCATTATGGAACCCCAGGAGAAAATAGTTCCCAACTGAGATTTTGGAAAAGGTTGAAGGAACTTTTTATTCTCAAGGTTTTTGTTCTTCTAATCATCTCTTCATTCCTCTTCAAATTGTTAACAGAGGAACATGACTTCATAACACTTCAGAGGATGTTGTCAATTTATCTTCTTTCCCAAATAGACTTAAGAATACTATGAGTAGTAGCATTACAAGTCAGAGGCTCAGGGTATAACTTAGAGTGCTTCTTCAACACAGGAACAGCCCTGGCTTCAGCCTTGAGGAAAAAAAAATAGATACAATCAGGTTATATTTTATTCCAAGACCTGGGTTTCACTTACTACCTATGAGATGAGCTTGTCATCCTTTTATCATCTGGCTGTTCTTCTGGTGAATTTCTGTATATTTTAATCTTCAGCATCTTTAATCCAAAAATCTGAAAGTCATAGTGATACTCCAAAGTCCAAAACTTCTTGAACACCACCATAAAACTACAGTGGAAAATTCCTCAAATGACTTCATGTGATAGGTTGCAGTCATAATGCAGAAACAGTAAAATTGCCTCCAGTTACTACCTCTTTGTGGCTGTGATTTTGTACTCATTAAATAAATACAGGTCCCTAAACAACATGGAAGACTTCCATATACACATATTTGTAAATAATATTTTTGTATTTCTAACTATCCTCAAAAATGCAAGAATACATATAGTGAGAAATATATATATCAGACTCTTTGTTCTCTAGAAGGTATGCATACTATATATTTATCTGTGTTTAGATATTAGGCACATTCTATTCACTCCCATTTACACCTCCAATAGTATTATTTATGTTCGTATGTGTGTAGTTGTGTATATATACACATATGTGCAATTTCATGTACACATGTGTGCATGTAGCTGACAGAAGTAGATGTCTGGTGTCTTTCTCAATGTTTCTCCACTTTATTTAGGTTTGTTCTGTGAGACAATGTCTCTCACTGACACTAGAATTCTGCGATTGTATATGCTACAGTCAACTATATTGGCTGTCCATGGACTTCAGGGGATCCCCCTGCCTCTGCCTCGTTAGTGCCGAGGTTTTACGGGTGTACTGCTGCCCTCGGCTTTTTCCTCAGGTGCTGGGACTCTGAATTCCCATCCTCATGCTCACACGACAAGCATGTCACTAGCTGAGCCATCTTCCCGCACCCCATATAGAACACTCTGGTTCTGTGACAGAGAAAGAGGACAGACTCACACAAAACAACTGTTTTGTTTTTTTTTAAATCACAGCTGCACTCTTGGAAAGCGGAGCAGCTCACAGTGCAGCCCCCAGGCTTACTTCCTTTTAATTGCCTTTGCAAATCCTCCTCCTATCTTTTCCCAATTATCTCCAATGTTTGAGGAAGGCATTTTTAGCATCATTAATTCAGTATAGATGATCCATCTTTATAAAGTACCACAGATTCATTACTTCCTGGGTGTACCTTTTGATTTCTTTCAATTGATGCAAGAGAGAAAAAGCTATGGGATTTTTATAAAACTATTCACATTCATCATAATATTCCAAAAGGTACTGAAAACAGAAGCTTCATTTTGGGGTGGTGGTGGTGGTGGTGGATGCTAGGTGTGTTTGGGATTATAAAATAATGATAATAATACCACCAAACCATTACCTTGTAAAGTAAAAGCAGCTTGCTGTGATTAAGAATACAGTCAAATTTCATGCTGCATATGTATTAAGATAATGAATGAAAACAAATTTGTTTCTTTGGCTAAGTCAGCTGAAACCCTCTTCTGAGTTCTAATCTTTAGTCACAGTGTGTTGGGCTAAAAAAAGAGTTTTAGTTGCTTCTCAACTAATATGTCTACGGTTCACATTTGTTCATCTGGAGACTGGGGATAACAAGAGCTGTTGTGTTCTGCTAGTGTACACTGAGATGGAAGTAAATGAAGTACCCAACTCACATCTTCATAAATCACATTACAGGCCATATTTTATACAAACACTAATATCTTAGGGTCAGAGTGACAAAGACCCAGCCCAGGGTGTTTTCTTCTTTCTGAAATTACCTCATGCTCTTGGCCATGGCTGCTGACCTCCAGGGCATTGTGCCAGAGATACCTTTTGTGTTATTATTCCGTTTCTGGTTTCCTGTTAGCATTTTTTGCCTATTTCATGCAAGATTCCATTCTTCACCAAATACATTTTAATTAACTATAGCTTTTATTTTTATATAGGCAGAGTCCTGTTACTTGTACACCTATGTTTATTAAATTTAAAAAGAATTCACAGCAAAATGGTAAAATACTGTCAAGATCAATAGGCCTCAAAAAGAATGGCAAAGACTTGAAAATATACTGGAAGAAACAAAGAAATCTATTGTGCTATCTTAATTATGAAAAAGTTATATTTTAGGCGGAAGTTTGCTTTTATGAAGAAAAACACTGTAATAAAAGAAACAACAAAATTTTATAATAAAATCTACTGAAAAATCTGTATGTAGACCTGGCAGTTCATTGTACTATGAGACATTCAAAGAAAACCCATGCCACTGGTGGCCCTTTTCAGCTCACTGGGGCAGTTAGGGCTTACTCAGACTTTCCCCAGAACAGCCACCATCTGCCTGATTAGTCCATTTCCTAGGTATCCTGCCCATTCTTGCTATTTAAGTTTCTGTTCCATTTCAAGAAAGGCACTCGTTAGGGATGGCCACATGTGTGATCACTTGAGAAGTGTATGTATTCAAAAGAAATGGACATGTACCTTGGAATTTTACTAAGTACAGGCAGGAAAAGACTTTCTCAACTTCCTTTCTCTTAAATGCTAATAAATCATGCCACAATCTTTAATTTTTCCTCCCTACTACCAAACCTGAAATTCCATGAATCTAAAATAAGAAAGAAATGCTCAGTGTAGGCATTTTTGTGACAGACACATTATAAAAACAAACAGAAAAAAAATGCCATTTGTTAAAAAAAATGAAGTTAATTGCATGCTAACAAAAAATAACAAATGTAAAACATGTATGGTCTATTTTAATGTCTTAAAAAAAAAAAAACCTGAAATGGGATGCTGAAAAACGTGGCATAAATGTTTTTCCCTTCAACTTTCTAGAAAGTACACTCCATATAAGTGAGAATTTCTCTCTCTCTCTCTCTCTCTTCATTGAGTGTTAGGACACACAGCAAAATGTATTCATACCTGCTTCCACTTGCATATATGCTAACTGTATTATATATTAATGTAATTGGATTTTATACATGTAATTAATCTCTGAGATCACAGACCTTATGATATGAATATCATTATGATAGGTCTGACCCCGTTACAAGAATCTTTAAAAACAGTTTTCTCTGATAATTATAAAAGATACCACAAAGAAAAAAAAATCACTGGCTAGCTAAAAGGAAGCAACAGTTGCATTGTAAATATGGCCCTGTGTAGCAGAGAGCAGTGGACAAGATCTGAGAGCAGCCCCCAGTGTGCAATCAGCAAGTCATCAGGGAACTTAGTCCTGCAACTACAGCAAATGAATTCTGCCAGCACATAAACAAACTGGGGCAATAACCAGAGCCTCAGGTGGTAGAGCCAACAATACATTCCAGTCTGCTAAGACCCAGAGCAGAGAGTAGCTAGGCAGATCTCTGTGTGTTCAAGAATACAGCCAGCAGGGAGACACATACCTTTAATCTCAATACCAACCATAGAAGAACTGGAGGTCTGTATAGATGGGCAGTGACAAGGAGGTCATGTGGTTGGGTTTACAACCAATGAGAAGGCAGAACAGAAAGTCAATAAAAAGGACAAACACACAGGATGTAGGTCTCTTGCTGAGGAGGAAAGCAGGAGCAGTGAAGGGTAAGGTTTTTAGCTCTTAGCTGTTGCTCTGACCTCTTGGGCTTTCATCTCTGCATTGGCTCTGTGTTTCTTATTTTACAAGATGGTTATATCTACAGAGAGTTAAATAAAAGCTCCTGTGAGTTTATAAATGTGTCTTCTCTCATGCTACTGTATTAGTAATGATTTGTGATATAGCAATAAAAATACTATCTTCCTCCCAGATTGAGCCAAGCGTCCCTGCATAAGTCCCAGGTTTCAAACAGCTAACTCATGCAACGAGCCCAGGACCTGGTACCAATGCCTAGATGCCTCCCAAACAGATCAAGCCAATCGACTGGGAGGAGGGGACTGGACCTGCCTGGACTGAGTCTATCAGGTGGATCCCAGTCCTCGGGGGAGACCTTGATCTGGAGGAGGTGGGAATGGGGGGTGGGCTGGGGGGAAGGGGTGGGGGGCAGGAAGGGAGAGAACAAGGGAATCTGTGGCTGTTATGTAGAACTGAATAGTATTGTAAAATAAAAAAAAAGAAAAGAAAAAAATACTATCTTACATCAGATATATAATAAATAGTTGTGGAATGAATGGATGCATGAATGATATTTTAGTATAATACATGGTAAAATTAAGATATTTTAAAAACTAGAACAGATCATGAAACTATATGAAAAAACAGATTACTGCTGAAACTAATTCCCAGTACAGGGCAGTGTCAGCACCCTGAGGAGACTGTTCCTTTCTGGGATTTCTTTATCCTTTTGACTAAATGTGTTTCACCAGCTGCTAACTCTACCAAGTATTGTCTATACCAGGCTCTAATGATGTTATATGCAGCTGTATCCCCACGAATGATGGTTACCACACACAACATTACTGTGGTTTTATGACTAAGTTTTAACAAATACACATATTATATTCTTCATTTATATTGATTTGACATCAGTGTGTTTTTAAATAAGAACAAAATATTGATGCAATACAACAGTAAAGGTATATATATATATATATATATATATATATATATATAAGATATTTATATACTAGTCTCTCAAAACTCATTAGGATTGATTCCAAGATCCCTACAGATATTAAAATTCATAGATGAAATAAAATGATGTAATATTTACATATAACCTATGCAATACTTCCATATATTTCAAATCATTTCTAGAATACTTATATTTTATGCATGATTGTGCTATAAAAACATGTATACTTAGCCGGGCGGTGGTGGCGCACGCCTTTAATCCCAGCACTCGGGAGGCAGAGGCAGGCGGATCTCTGTGAGTTCGAGGCCAGCCTG